AACCTTGATAACTGAAACCTCGATAACGTAATAACCTCTATAAATTAAACGAATAATTTGGGCATCGCACCTCAGTAAGCAGTGAAAAGTAGTTTGAATCGGAAGAATGTTTTCTGTGTAAAAGAAGAATTGCTGAATTTCATAATTTAGAAAAATGTTTGTTTACATGGTTTAGACAGTGTAGAAATATGTAAAACCATTAGTGTTAGTGGACCTATACTAAAGGAAAAAGGTGAAAAATTTGCTAAGTCACTGAAAATCCATATTATTAACGGTTAAACTTAAACCCTTAGTAAGTAAAACCTCAACAACTCAAATCATTTTACGTTTCCCTTGGTCATTATCTTATCGAAGTTCTACTGTACAAAGAATAAATTAGCAAATTACGAGCTTATGATATCGTGAAAAAAATGCTGTAATATCTAAGATTTTCTCTCTACTTTCAAATCATCACTCAAAAAGCATGGTTCTGTCCATTGATTTTCTTTTGCCTTTTCGTTGCTTCTGTTAGTTCTTTGGTAAAATTCATTGTTATTTAATTACCGGTGTAGTACATACTACATTAATAAGACATTCTATTTACTGCTGGTCTAGTTAAATGCAATTTTCTATTATCTCTTAAAAAGAAGTAATTTATGCAACGTCAACTTCAAAAGTAGACCCTTTGAGCACGTTCTTTTCCCTGAGCTACATCCTTCTTTCTACTTAATAACGTATTCCCAAAGGACGTTTACATATATAGTTAGGGAAATCGAAAACGTGGAATGTATATATTTCAAATTAAAGAAAAGCAGGAAATATTCGTTGGACCGAAAGAGAATCGTTTAATGGGTATGTTGTGTTACTTATTTTGCAATACAGACTTATTATATCACTTGTTGTTTTTCCCCGTCAATCTAAAGAAAAGAAAGGTGGCAATTTTGTCCATTTCTTTCGGTTATTTCAAGATTGTTTTTGAGGTACGAATACACGAAGAAAACTAAATTTTTATGACAACGCAAATATTACAATTTTCGATTGTAAATGACTGAATTTACCGTAGAAATAGTCGAATTTATAAGGTAACTTGTAATAATTTCAATTTTGACATGTTTTTTTAAAAATTATTTCAAGTTTCTTAATGATTACTATTTAATTAGTAATATCAATTTTCTGCTGGGATTTTATTTTTACAAATTCGGGTCCAAATTGTAATTTTTATTATTTTCGCTTACGAAGCGACGGACAAGTGGGATAAATTGTAAATATCGCTTTAATATTTAGGTAAATTTTCCATTTTCATTTTCTCCGTGTATGTAATGTGTATATTTAAAGTGTACGAGCAATGTCGTTCTACTATGTCGATTTAGGGCCCCCAAGCAGCCAGTAGCTCTTTTAGTTCTACTTCGTCTTTCCATTAGGTATTTTCTTTGAAGCAAAGTTCAACAGATGAAGCCTTCAGCTAATTTTAGAAATTTTCCTGAATGACTGTTTATATTTTTCTTAAATAAACAGGAACTGCCCAACAACCTTTTAAGTAAAAGCTTTATATGATAAATTATATTTCTTCTGATTCCGTTCTGGTTTTCTGGTTCATTTTATCTCAGTCTCAACAAGTTAATTACGGAGAGATGTGCGTGTGGGCCGTTAGGACTGAAACTTTTATTGTTCAAAGAAAATCATATTTTATGGAAAGTAGGCTTTTATTTGAATATTCGAAATACTTTGGAGGAAGTGTACTATTTTAGAGTTTGAGAGTATTTCCTGGCATTTTAAAAGGTAGCTGTGAATCATATTGTTTTGTTAAGGAATTTTATTAATGAAATACAGAAGCAATAAGCCTGAAATCTGAAATTAATTTTTGCTCTTATGTATTTACTTAATTTATTGAATCATTTAATTATGCTTTTTTACCCCTGTCACTTTTCATAATAACATAAATATTTTCAATGCTATGATTTTTTTTAACAAATTTCAAAAATTGCAATTTTTATTGACTTTAAGTCATAAATGATATGATATTAATAAATATCATTAATATGAATATGCTTTTTTCGTATACTTTAGGGTACTAATAATAATTATTATGTAACATCTTCTGATCCATTTCTCTCTTGTTAGGAAGAAAATCCAGCTGAATTAAGAAAGTATACAGTGTGTTATTTAATAATCCCCCATGTTCTGTAGCGTCGCCCTATTATAAACGTTGAAAATAAACCATAAAAGTATTGAAAAATATTAATACTTTGTAGGCATTGCTTAAAGTTAATTGAAAAAGAAATTGAAGTAAAGATACATATAAAGAGAGCCAAGAGTCCAAGATAAATATGTATTTACGTTGTTGATTCCCGTCAGATTCAATACCTTTTTATTTTGTGCATGTCTATGACAAAGCATCTATTAAATGATAAGTTTCATTCCTCTCCTATTATAATAAACCAACTGTGCCCTCAGCTTTGTCAACTTGGAATTCAATTTTGTTTGCAAATTATATTTTATCAATTTTTTAATTCATTTTAACATATTCTTTTGTTTTAACGAAATAATATGTAGCCTTTGTCCAGTCTGAATATCTATTCTAAATATTGGTGTATATACATAGGTAGATATGCTTATTTACTTTGTGTCTTAAATAATGTATCTTTCTGCCATGCAAGTAATCAAGTCTGGGATCAGAAGGTCCGAGTAAAATACTTAAAACCATATCCAAAATATTAAAGTTCTTATTGTTTCAACCATAAAACTACCTTTTACGACTTTATAAACCCGACGAAATACGAAGCTCTAAACTGTTGCATTTCTACTTTGTTTGTCCATAACATTTTACCATTTACCATCGGCTATTATTAATTCCATCTTTCTTTTCAAAATTAAAGGTCAGCTGTGTTTCGTAATTAAAGCAATCCGTTTAGTTTGTAATTAGTTCTACTAATATGTATGAGCTTTAGATTCAGTAAAAGAGCCCACGGTGCCAGTTTCCAAACTTCATTTCGACGACCTAAATATTCAAAACACCGTCTGCGTAATTTCCTGCTAAACCAACTGTTTGCAAACCTTCAAAGACACGATCTACAAAATAAAATGAAGATACACAGCCACAACGCCGTTTATATCTCTGTTTCATTTACGTTACGTACGTAAACCAACAACACAAATAATTATTATCTGTAGGTAAATACGATTAATACAGCAATCAGCAGTGCGAAAGTAGTAATTAAAGTAAATAATTTCTTATAGTTTAAATCGCTCTATTTTTAGAANACAGAGGACTCTATGGAAGTCAATAAAAAATAGGCGAGATAGGTTGGTAGGACACCTTCTCAGGCATGAAGGTCTAGTCAGAGACATATTAGAGGCAGAAACAGGAGTTAGGAGGGGTAGAGGTAGATGATGAAACAAAAAACCTTAGAATTATAAATACCTAGTTGTAAAAAAATGTCTAACATTAGAACAACGACTTAGGAACATTGTTCCTTCCAATAGTTCCGGAACACTCTGATAGTTTGCTACCTTGCTCGGGCGGGCTTGTTTTTATCCAGGTAAACGTTGAAACTATGTTAGCTGCACATGTCGTGTTAAAGTTTTTATTAAGTGAACTTACAATACTCGTTAAAAGTTACAAGACTGGATCCTGGAGAAAGGCATTATACAAGAATTGTAACAAACTTTTAATTGTTTAGGATAGTAGGAACTGGATATTACCTAGTAGATCCATCTACCACGATGCAATGTAACTTCTATCAGACTGTGCTGAGGCGTAACCTTATAAAAGTCCCATTACTGTAAAAGCATGGAAAGCTTTTTCATGTTTGCAGCGTTGTGGGTGTTTCTATTTGAAGAAGCATTTTTATAAATGCTTAAATAACCATGACATACGACTTCCAGAACTACTGCTTTCGAAATAAAAAAAAAATCTACGCTTTACTTACAGCATTCGGGTAGCTTTTTGAGCTTCAGCTTTCTATGTTCTCAAAACGTCGAGTTCTGATGAATACTCAATTTTCAAAAATCGACCTAAAATCAATAATTTCCCAATTTTGAAAAGATTTTATAGAGGAAAGTCAAAAAATATTCTGAGATCTCATTCATTTTGTGTAAAATATGGGTAATGGGTTAACATTTTTTACGGTGCCCAGGGTGCCACTAAGAGAAAATCAGGCCCTGGTGGTCGCTAATGAACAACTGCTTAAAGGGCTTTCAGAATTTAATGTGTTTATATACCGGGTGTTTCAGGTTTAACTGACCAAACTTAAATCTAAATTTAAGACTAAGTAAGAGAAACAGTTTCTCTGAAGCTATATTCAAAAACGTTTCGTTAAATAATTATGCCCTTCCAATGATGATGCTAAATGGTTTTCATTTTTCTGAAGTTTAGAAATATAAAAATTAATTAAATGATGAATAATGATTTTTGGGCATTCTAATACTAATAAGCATTTGCCGTCTTACTAAATCACACAATTTTCCAAAACTCCGTGTGGGTAGTGTATATTTTCTCTTATTAACTTGATCTGTATGTATATATCTATGCAACTGAATTATTCAACGCAATTTTTACCCACATGAAGATGTCTATTTGATTTAAAAATTTGTACACGTATTAAAGACCGATTACAATACAAAAATATAGCTAACCCCTCCACCATGTGGCCATCTTCCCCCAGTGCGAGCCGAGGCTGTGCAGGGTGTGAGGTTGAAGGCCGAACTCCTCGTAGGAGCCATAACTACGTAGTGTCCCCCGATTGATCTCCCACCACATAACCCCTCTCCCTCCCAAATGTGTATCTTCTCCGATTGGGATGAAAATGTCTATCTGACATCGGCAGAATACGTTTGCGATTTTTTAAACAAATTTTGGGTTCCGCCATTTTACAAGATGCCTGCCATGTGTACTCATTTTACTCAAATTAAACCGATTGAGATGAAAATCGATATATGGCCTCGGCGGAGTGCGGCGATTGCGACTTTACGATTGCACGGTAGGGTAAGTTCGTTTCATGCGAGCAGCTTTGTAACGAAATCATGCAACGGATGTCCCCCCTCTACTCGGCCACGTAGTCGAGTTCGTAGTGGGGATCGCTTGAGCCATGAGCGCGCTTCAATGCTATGTTCGTTACAGGCAACTCCGGCATGTATAGTGTAAAATTTAAATTCATAGTGTACAAATAATACCATTAAAGTAATTCCTTAACCCCTACCCGGTATGTTTGTGTGTTTGAAGAAGTTTCACTTCAGTAGCGTGTTGTATAATTACACGATGTATTTTTTTTTTGAATTCTGCCTTTTAACAAAATGGCTGCCATGTGCAGTAATTTCAATTAAAATAAACCGATTGAGATAAAAAACGACATATGACATCAGCATAATGTGGCGATTGCAATTTTCAAAAAAATTTTTGGGTTCCGTTATTTCACAAGATGGTTGCCATGTATAATTTTGATTGAAATGAATGAAATGATTTTTAATTAAAACTATACAGGGTTCGACTTGCAGAACCCAAATTTAATAATTGTATCCGTATAAAATCCACCCAATCTAATATATTGATAAGAAACGTGCCGAGGGATGAAGAGGGTGGCTAAAAATATCATGTTATTATCATAACTAGCGTACTAAATATCAAGTATTATAGTATAGTACAAATACCCCACGCTTTTTTTGCTAGGGATTGCTAATAATTTTATCCTTTCCGGAACGTTTTGGGATACATCTTCATAGGAAACATTTTTCTTATTTTGCGGTCTTGAATTCAGATTTATAAATTTGTCCAAGTAGATCTGAAATGCCCGGTGCCTACATCTATACAATAAACTGCCCAATAATTGATTTCAAAAACAAAACTAACCTTTAGCGTTAATTAAAGATTAAATAAGAGTTAATTGCCCTGTACGTATCTTTTAGAATGCACTCTGAAATTGGTTTTCCTTTATTAAGTTTGTTGAGAATAAAATTACGCTAATTAGTGTGGAACAAAAGAGTGTGTACTCTTTGACAAAGTGCTTGCATATTTCAGTTTTACCAGGACTGTCATATTATAAAAGGGTTGATGTTCATAAAGTATTGTAGCCTAACGTCTTTTCCATCAAGTAGAATAATACATCATTCACACTTAAAAAATACTTTTAATACTTGAACATTCAGCAATACCAAAACAAAGACTAGAATTATTTGAGCAAGACCAAGACGAAGAAGACAAGAAGAAGTAAAAAATCAGAAACAAAATGGAATTGTAAATATTTTTTAAAAAGATTGTTGTTGATTTTAAAACAAAAAAACAAAAAACATTTGCAACCCCATTTTGGCTGTGACCTTTCACGCTAAACAAACTATTTTGACATTGTTATATCCTTTTTCCAATTAAAATGATAAATGCAAATAAGAAAGCATATAGAGAAATTGTTTATTGCTAACTGTATCTCAATCACTTCAAACAGCAAACAGAAAGAAAATATGAGTCTTACGGGTGCGAAACATGGACAGAAGGCGCGAAAAAGAAAAGGTTAGAAGCGTTCGAAATGTGGTGTTATAGGCGAATGATGAGGATACCGTGGATAGAAAAGGTTAGAAATGAAGAGGTATTAGAAAGAATAGGAGAACAGAGGACTCTATGGATGTCAATAAGAAATAGGCGAGATAGGTTAGTAAGTCACCTTCTCAGGCATGAAGGTCTAGTCAGAGACATATTAGAGGCAGAAACGGGAGTTATGAGGGGTAGAAGTAGACCTCGATTAAATTGCTGTTCGCAAATAGTTAAGAATGTGGGTTGTTCTAGTTTTAGGGAAATGCGAAGTTTAGCTCAAGGTAGGAATCAGTGGAGGTAAGTGTCTAACCAGTCTTAGGATTGACGACTTTATGATGATGATGACTCAATCTTTTCACAGCCGGTGATAGAGTAAGCATCACTATTGGTCTATAAAAACCCTAATTTTTAAAAGATGAGCAAATGACTAAATGTTTTTCTTAAGAAATCCATTATACATTAAANATGGTTGATATTGTACGACTTGTTAATTTTTCAAACAATGATAAACCGTGAATAAAACATTGCTTTGTATCAAAACTGGTGCTTACTTTCAGTGTACCGAATTTTCATACAGTCGCGTCAAAGGCGATCTTTTAAGCAAAAATTAATAATTTATTTTAGAGCGTTTACTTTTGGCCGCTGTGTTTAGTTCCTTTATTTTTTT